AGAGTTTGATGGGACTCAGTGATTTGTCCAAAGGTTACACTGGTAGCAAGTGACTAAGCCAGCATTCAAACTCATGTCAGGTGATAGAATAATTTAAAAATGGAGTAGTATTCAATCCCAATCTTATCACTTCTCCCAGGGAATTACTCAAGCAAAAGACCCTTTTGAAATTCTTGCTTTTTAAGTTCTCCTAAGTATATGCGATTTTTTTTTAAGCAAAGAAAACAGGAAGTAGGATTGCATGCAATATGAAAACAAATAGGGCAGGGTTTTAAGGGTGTAGGCTGGAAATCAGGGCGAATGGTTGGGATTACAGAAAGGACAAGCCTAGACTTGGCATTTTGAAGCCAGGTTAACAGGGCTGTACTAAACTTACAGATTCTTGAATCATTTGCATTATGGATGAGTGAGTGTGCGTGCATATATAGATACAATAAAATAGAATGTGGGGATTCAGGATATTTTTTTTCAGAGACTCCTTTTCCTGCCCCTCACTCTATGCCATGCACCTCCCCCCTATCCTGACCACACATACATGCACACATCAGAACTTCCTCTTTAGACCACCAGGCTCTATTCCCTGAATGTGGTCTCCTTACTTCTGCTCCCAGAAAAAAATGTTGATTTCTCTGGCGCTGCAGATTTAACTATCTCATTACTGGATGTGAATTTTAGTCACAATACCAGGAAAAGGTTCCTGCTCCTGAAGCACTCCTCTCTACCCCAAGCCCTTTTCTTTTGACATACTATGACTTCAACCGAGGAAACTCTCTGTGAGTAACCTCCTTCAACTGATAAATATCATCAGTTAGTCTGTAACTGATAAGTCTTAGTTGCCTGGAGGCACTGAGAGTTTAAACTTTGACTTGCCTATCTATGGTCACACATGGCAAATATGTGTCAGGGGCAACCCAGGCCTTCACAACTCCAAAGCTGGCCCTCTAACCACCATGCCACACAGCCTAAATCCCAAAATGTCCTGAAAATGTACATTTCCAAGTTCTACATTTCAAAATTATCAACATATTTAGTAAATTTTATAGCTCATATGCAAGTCCATGTCTCTTCTAGGTCCACGTACAGCATGTGGTCTCTCCAGGTAGATTTGACAATCTTGATTTCTAATTTTGTTTTTATTTTAATTAGGCATCATTAGCACTTAGGTTGAATTGTCACTATTAGATTCTCTTAGTGCAATCTAGATGAATCTCTCCAATATTCAGCACTCCAATGGGTCTTTGAACTCATTAATGTGAGTATTCCCTCTAGTGACATGGATCTCAGACCCTCCATGCCTCTCATTCTGTGTGACTTACACTCATATCCTCCCATAAGTTGCCATGAGGGTTCCACTAATGTACTGAGGCATTCCTCCTGTTCTCTTAATATTGTGAGGCTACGAGTTAAACATGGAGGCTGTCAATTGGTTCTCATTTTGGTCCATCTTTTTCATTTATATATTTCTTTAATCACACAAAAATAAGAACTTTTGTTCAGCTTGTGATAAGACACCAAAAGCATTTTTGAGGTAACCCATCAGCAAATAAAAAACAAAACAGCATTTTAAATAAATTAAAAAAACTGTTTTGGTGATTTCATCTTTAAGGGGAACATAGTAGGATCTTTATAACAGTGATAGAAAAATTTATTAATCTTTATATAATAGTTGATGTTCTGTAAATTTCCCCCTCCTTATGTTTACAAAGTACTTTGCAAACATGATACCACAAACCAATGAACCCATCTTCTATTAGCCACACTCTTGTTGTTGTTTAGTCATTCAGTCATGTATGACTCTTTGTGACCCCATGGATCTTACTGTACAAGGGTTGGTTTTTTTTTTTTTTGGTGGAGGGGAGAGGGACAAAGAAGATACTGAAATGGTTTGCCGTTTCCTTCTCCAGTGGATTAAGGCAAACAGAGGTTAGATGACTTGCCCAAGGTCACACAGTTAAAAAATGTCTGAGGCTGGATTTGAACTTGGGTCTTCCTGGCTCTGGGACCAGCACTCTTTCCACTGAGCCACCTAGCTGCTATCCCCACTCTACTTTTTGTTTCATTTTGTTTTGGAATGAGCAAATGTTTCAGAATAAGCAAGAAATGACTTACATCTTTCCTTAAAATGAGGCTACAAAAACTTGGGCTAATTTGTTCAAAGAGTTTAAAATATTTAAATCAAACTGCTATTCCTGTGTGATTAAAAATGGAGGCAACGGAAATATCACGGGAAAAGCTAGTAAATAATAACTGCTCACATTTATATAGCTCTTCAAGGATTATGCAGTATTTTCCTTACAATAACCCAGTGACATAGGGAGCGCTATCTCTTGCATCATCTAGATAAGTAAAATTTAACATTTACAGCTTGAATGTAAACACACACACACGCATATTATAAACTGAGTTTCTTCTCAACAGATATGTGTTTTCACATATTCTCTGTCCAATGCTTTAACTGCCATCTTTCTATACGCTTTTGAAATTAGGGGCATCTTTCACACTATTAATACACTATAGCTGGTGGTAAATAGACATTTCTGTATATTCTCATCTCAGATAACATCAGTTTGGGGAGAAGAAGTTTGTGTCTGCCTAATTATGGGCAAACCAGAACAGGACTGAAACTTTTTCTTCCTTCCAGACCCTTCAGGCCATCCTTAATGTTATTACTGGGTCTTTGCCATAGAATATAGTCTTGTGAAAGAACTGTGGCAAACTGGGTAAACAATGTTTAGACCTGTCTTGTTTTGGATGCATCCATAGTTAGAGGCAGCCAGGTGAAGCCAGGTGGATAGAGTGCTGTGCTTAAGACTCAGGAACACCTGAATTCAAATTCAGCCTTGGACACTTACTAGCTGTGTGACCTTAGACAAATCACTTAACCTTGTTTGCCTGAGTTTCCTTCTTTGTAAAATGAGTTGGAGAAGGAAATGGTAAAACACTCCAGTATCTTTGCTAAGACAACCCCAAATGGGGTCATGAAGAGTTGGACACGACTGAAATGACTGAATAACAAAAACAACCATAGTTAGAGCCTAAGTTCCAATACACTCTTTTATTTGTATAGCTAGGTGTCCACATACATAATACACACTGTACATATATATAACATATATGTAGCTATATATTCATCTTTTCTGTACAATTTTTTAAAAACTGGTTTCCAAGTTGTTTTGACCAGAAATAATTTTTTTAATAGTCCACCTGTTTTTTTTTTATCATCCCTACATTGCAGTTATGTATGTGACTTACTCAACAGAGCTTTTTTTTTTCAACTGGTATATTCATTATTTAATAATTCTTGAGAAGATACAGGCCACTGATTTTTTGCAATTTGAATAAGCACACTTTAGCTTATGTTGAAAGCTGAGCTTTTTAGTCCTCTTGCTTTGGAAGTACATTAATATTTCTGTGACCTTTACTAGACGGCAGACGAGAAGTATTCAAAAACAACAACCAAAAATAAAAAAAAAATCACACACTCTACCACTCCAACATTTATGTATCTGACCCTGGTTTGACAAGTAAAAGAGAGAAAAGTACTTTCTAGAGGGAATAAGAAAAAAAATGAGACTTGAAAGTTCAAATGAAGTGTCCATTGTTATTTCTGTCCTCATGTCAATGTATTTTTCAATATGTGACAGCTCCTGACAATTTTCACTGCCTAATTAACGGTAAATGATGTTTGAGTTTTTTTATACCTATATGTATATTATACATATGATATATATATACATATCTACAGACATGTATGGCATATATTATATATCTATATCTATAAACATATATGTGTGTACACACATACACATGAATTTGTGATTTCATTGCTGTAGGGAACTCCCAGGGTGCAAATACTCTCCAACTAAACTGATTGACAAGTATGTATGTGTGTATATACTTACATGTATATAATATGTACACATTTATATATACATGTTTTTGTTCAGTTTTTCAGTCATGTCCAGCTGTTTGTGAATCCATGGACTACAGCATGCCAATGTTGTCTGTGTTTTTTGTTTTGTTTTGTTTTTGGCAAAGATTCTGTACTGGTTTGCCATTTCCTCCTCCAGTGGACTTAGGCAAACAGAGTTTAAGTGACTTGCCTGGGGTCACACAGCTAGTAAGTGTCTGAGGCCAAATTTAAACTCAGGTCTTCCTGACTCCAAGCCCAGAACTCTCTCCACTGAGCCATCTGATTGCCTCTTATATGTACATATATTAATATTACTTTAATATGTAAGTATGTAAAACTTTAAGTAATTGCTCATATTACCAGAAACATTGAGTTGAACAAACATGAGTTAATTAATTTCTAATAAATGCACTCAGAAACAGTATGTTTTATACAAACAAGAAAATAATGTATTCTATACCAGCAATAATAAGGATGTGTAAATGTATCAAAATTTGAGCTACTATAAAATGTTTCACTGTTATAAACTAACTACTTTAATGCCTATTTCTAGACCAAAGCCAGACAGTTTTACCCAGGAAACTAAATTTCAGATAAGCATCGTTGTTTCTGAGAGCTGAACTCTACATAGGAAAATAGTTTTCTGACTGTACAGTCCACAGGTAAAAAAGAACAGATCTCATCTGAATTTTCAGTAATGTGAAATTTCATTGGTTTGTGAGCAGGCTAAATGGATGGGGACAGAGAGGAGTTGCTCTGACAACAGTTATTGCTAGCCTAGCCTATACCACCAGTAATAAGGGATGTGCAAATGTATCAAATAAAGGAACAGTATTGCTCCTGAAGGCCTTTCTGCTAAGTTGCATGATTATTTGCTGTGACAACAGCATCAAACTCCATATAGAGAAAATACATTTACATTTAGCGAAGAACAGAATTAATCTACCGGCAAGATTTGTTTAAAACAAATGGTGAATAGTTCTCATTTTAAAAATAATAGAATTCCTAAGAAGAATGATCTTGACTACAATTAAATTTTCTTTTCTGAACATTCTAAGTATAAATTGTCATTTGTGCATGTGTACATCTTACAGTGAGTCATGAAAACATTTTTGCATTTAAGTGAACTTTTTTTTGTTAGTATAATGATGCAAACTCACACACTATTGTCTAGATATAATTTTTGCCCTTGCCTGTGTTAACTATGGTCGGAATGCTTTGGAGCCAGACAAAAAATCAAATTTAGATTGGGCATTCCCTTATTCAAATAGAGGCTTGTCTCTGTGTGTGTGTTTTCACTTGTGTGTATATACTTATTTTACCCATCTTGGCCCTTCTTATTTTGAAGCATAAAAAATCATAATATAGTATTGCATAATTCCTTGGGAATGAGCTGGTCAAGTCTACTTTTCTTCTTTACTAGCTCCAGCTATTCAGAATAAACGGTAATAGTATGAGTTTCTACATCAACTTAAAGCTTGCAAAATGCTTTACGTACATTATTCAAGCCTCTCAACAATCATGTGGAGTATATACTTACTACAAAGAACATTATCTACCTTTTACAATTTTGGGAAACTGGGGCTATCATTCATTTAATAAGAAACTATTAAATGCTTACTATGGACTATTCATTGGGGGTACAAAAACAAAAGCAAAAACAGTCCCTGACCTGAAGAAGCTTACAGTCTCACCAAGGGAGTCAACACATATATATGGTAGTAACATACAAAATAGACAATGTGATTTGGAGGTGAAGGGACTAGTGGTTGATGGCATCAGGAAAGGTCCTTATTTCAGCTGAATCTTGAAGGAAGCTAGGAATTCTCAGAGGCAGCAAGAGAGTACATTCCAGGCATGAAGGACAAAGGAATGAAGGCAAGAGATAAATTGACCTGTATGAAGAGCAACAAGAAGACCAGTTTGATTGGACCACAGTATGTTGGAACGGAGTAAAATGCAATAAGGATGGAAAGGTAGAGCCTGGTTGGAGCCTGTTTGTGAAGGGCTCTAAATGCCAAATAAGAGCTTATATTTGATCTTGGAAGTAATAGGCAAATGATGGAGTTCCCCCTCCCCACACTTAAAAGTGTTTTATTTTTTTTCCAATTACATGTAAAGATAGTTTTCAGCATTCACTTTTTTTTTTTTTTTGGCTAGGCAGTGGGGGTTAAATGACTTGCCCAGGGTCACACAGCTGGTAAGTATTAGGTATCTGAGGCTGGATTTGAACTCCGGTCCTCCTGACTCCAGGGCTGGTGCTTTATCCATTGCGCCACCTAGCTGACCCCACAACATTCACTTTTATAAGATTTTGAGTTCCAATTTTTTTTTCTCCCTCCCTCCCTTCCCTCTTCCCTCCCCAAGACTGCAAGCAATCTGATATAGGCTATATACGTATAATCATATTAAACATATTTCCACATTAGTCACGTTGTGAAAGAAGAATCAGAAGAAAAAGGAAAAACCACGAGAAAGAAAAAAAAAAGGGAAAATGGTATGCTTTGATGTGCATTCAGAAGCCATAGTTCCTTCTCTGGATGTGATTAGCATTTTCCATCATGCACCTTTTGGAATTGTCTTCGATCATTGCACTACTGCGAAGAGCTAAGTCTATCAAAGTTGATCATTGCACAATGTTGCTGTTACTGTGTATAATGTTCTCTTGGTTCTGCTCACTTTATTCAGCATCAGTTCATGTAAGTCTTTTCTAAAATCCATCTGCTCATCCTATCTTATAGCCCAATAGTATTCCATCACGTTCATATACTAAAACTTGTTCAGCCCTTCTCCAATTGATAGGCATCCCTTCAAATTCTAATTCTTTGCCACAACAAAAGGAGCTGTTACATTTTTTTGTACATGTGGGTCCTTCTCCCTTTTTTATGATCTCTTTGGGATACAGACCTAGTAGCGACATTGCTGGATAAAAGGTTATGAACAGTTTTATAGCCCTTTGGGCATAATTCCAAATTGCTCTCCAGAATGGTTGGATCATTTCACAACTCCATCAACAATGCACTAGTATTCCAAGTTTCCTACATCTTCTCCACCAAGAAATGATGGCATTTTTAAAGCAGAGGCTAAGTGACTTTTCTAGGCTCATCCAACTAGCAAGTGTCAGGTCTTCTTACTCTAACACTCTACCTACTCTGCTTTTCTTAATTTAGTGGATTCTGACTTATAATGAAAGGTGAAATGGTACTTTAGAATAGTAAGTGGCATGAGCACTAGACTGCGATCCAGGAACCTGGCTGTGTGTGACCTTGGGCAAATCATTTTGCATTCATAGGTTTCAACCTTCTCATCCGTAAAACAAACATGTTTATCTGAGATTCTTCCAAGCAGTGTCTATTTATGAACCCCTGACTCAAAGAACATTTAAGTTGGATAGAAACTTAGAGATAATCTGGTGTAATCACCTCATTTTACAGATGAAGAGACTGAGGCTCAGCAAGATTAAATTACCTTTTGAGGTCATGCATATATTAAGCCAATACTTAGGGTAAAGTTTCTTAATTATTTGTGTGTGTGTGTGTGTGTGTGTGTGTGTGTGTGTGTGTGTGTGTGTGATGGACTCCTTTAGTAATCTGGGGAAGCCCAGGAACCCCTTCCAAGAATAATGTTTTTAAATGCTTTAATATTCCATTGTTCTATAATCCCTCATTCTACATTAGCTCCTTTTAAATCAAAGATTCTTAACCAGGGTTCATAGATCCCCAAGAAGTTCATGGATAGATTTCAGGAGGTCTGTGAACTTGGATGCAAAAAATCAATCTTTATGTTCATTAACCCCCTAAGTGAAATTTGGAATTTTCTTTAATTATGAATTTTTAAAAATTATTTTGAGAAGTCAACAGGCTTAACCAAACTGCCAAAGAACTAAATAACACAACAAAGGTTAGAAACCTCTGTTTAAGAGATTATAGGCCTTCAGACTTCTATTTAGTGAGACATGGCATTAGTTGGTGCTCCACTCCAGGCAGACAGGTGACTGTCTAAGCCATTCAGGACGGATGAGAAGAGCTTAGCCTTGAAAAAAAAAAACACTCATTTAAAAAAGAAGCAACAAAAAAACCTCCCAGTTCTGTAAATAGTGAGTGTTTGATACATGTTTGTTGAGTTGAAATGAAGTGCTAAAATTGATAAACCTATGTGCATAATGTACAGTTTTTTTCTGTAACTTTTTATTGGTACAGAGCATACACTTACTGAGGCATTTAACCACTTATAGAGCAGGAGTCTTAAATGACTTCACCGTTTGCTTTACCATCCCATTGAAAGAGTTGCATGGGTCCACCAGAGTTACCATTTTTGATAAAGGTCCCATGTGACGATAATTAGGCACCTCCTTACTTTCCCATAAGGTGCTGTAATGAGAAAAAAAAGCATTAACAAATATGAGACCACAAATCCTTATGTCTTGAAGCTATTATACACTCATGGATTGCTCATATATATTTGAGGAGCTGGGTGATGCAATGGGGAGCACATTGGACTGAGAGTCAGGAGATGTGGGTACTTCTAGCTTGAGCTCTCAGTCATCTATCCCAACCTGTGCACACAAATCGTGGATCTTTGTAGAACATCCCTAACGAATCACCATACAGCCTCTTATTTAAAGACTTTCAGTGATGGAGAGCTCACTATGTCATGGGGCAGCCCATTCTATTTTTGGATACAAGGATAGAGGCAAAATAGACATGACTGTTAACTGCCTTATAGAACTTTCCACTTTGATACATGAAATATATGTCTTTTTCCATCTGCTTAATCAGTAATGGTCAGGCTTTTTAGACGTGTTTTCCATTAAGACTTACCTTCTAAAAATGCCCCTGCTACTTCTAACTGACCAACATGGCAAATAATATAAGTTCTGGCCATAGATTCTTGATTCTTAAAGGGGCTAAGCCTTTTCTTTCCCAGTCCTGAAGAATGTAAACGAAATGCACCGCTTCATTTAAACAGAATCTGGGGTTACTCTCCAGTAAAATAGGGGAGAGAGTAACAAGTATTTGGTGTGAATATAAATATCGCAATAATATCCCTTTTTCTCATGTTTTTAAGTGGTGGTATAGATAAAGAAGCTAGTAGATAAGCCATTATAAATCCTACAGGGTTAAGTTTTGATTCTAATGATCATTCTAATGAAGATAAAGCTAGCATGCATGATATTTGTGCTTGCCCTAGACCTTTTGGGTCCAAATTTTGAGAAAAGGCATGAAAATTCTGCATTCCAAAATGTTTTATTGTTAGCATTCAGAGAAGGTAGCATGCAAGTATGAAAGTCCCTATCTTCTAGGATTCTGTTGAATTTGGGAAATTTAGTATCAGAGTTCTCTCATAGAAAAGAAATATGGCGTAATGGATGGAGGGAAGGGCTTGAGTCATGAAGACCTGGTTTCAAATCCTACCTTTGACATACAATTACAAATCCTTCATTTAATGTCTCTCTGATGATACATAGCTGTGAATTATAGAATAACACAATCTCCAAAGAATCAAAATTGCAATTGACAATGTAAGCGACAAGAGACAATGGAAATGACACAGTGAGCACTCATAGGCTGCTGTATAGTCTCATTTCTTATTCAAGAAATGGCATAAAGGATATCACCTAGGCATCGTACAATGAGAAAAGAGGATGAGCTGGCTATTTATTGAGAGTAAAGAATAATAGACAGCCTGAGTGCTGCATTGATACCTAGAAAATGTTGGAAGGTCTACAAAATTGTCGGCAGAGACTCAGTGGAGGATCCATGGGACAATGTATACAGGAATAGGATGGGGGTAAGGAGGGAGGGGAAAGGAATAATCGTACACACACACACACACACACACACACATATATACATACATATATATATATATATATATATATATATATATATATGTGACTTACTGTGCTAAATGCTTTAGAAATATTATTTCATTTGATCCTCAAAACAACCTTGCAAGGTTGGTGATATTATTATCTTCATTTGACAGTTGAGGAAACTGAGGCAAACAGAGGTTAAATGACTTGCCCAGGGCCACAAAGCTTGTAAGTGTCTGGAGTCTGGAGCTGAACTCAGGTCTTCCTGATTTTGCTAGGTGGCGCAATAGAGTGCAGGGCCTGGACTCAGGAAAACTCTTCCTGAGTTTAATTCTGGCCTCAGACACTCACTATGTGACCCTGGGTAAGTCCCTTAATCCTGTTTGCCTCAGTTTCCTCATCTGTAAAATGAGCTGGAGAAGGAACTGGCAAACCACTTCAATATCTTTGCCAAGAAAACCTCAGATGGAGTCATGAAGAGTCAGATACAACTGAAATGACTGAACAACAATCACACTGATTCCAGGCCCAGAGCTCTGCCACCTAGATGCCATATGAGAATGCATGGACGTTTTCCAACCTGCACTGATGAAGAGAGTAGTATCCACATTGATGAGATCACAAAGCTATCCATGCACTGAATGATAACACTTTTTAAAGACTACCTTCTGGGTCTTTATGTATATGTTTTTAAAATAAAATTTTAAAATGTACTTTAACTCCATTTATATGGAGAGATTGAATTAGTTATTGGACACTAATAGATATGCTTCTTATTTCTTTTTTGAAATAGACATTCCAATTACATCATGTAAAAATGTATTAATTTTTTATGCTTTAACTAATTGCCTGTAAGTAGACATCAGCAGATGAGAATCATACCTAGTGATAACCCCCTTCAGGAGAAATGATTCAGGCACCTGCTTAGTTCAGGATCATAGAGCTAGAAGAAATCTTGGGGGACAGCTAGGTGGTGCAGTGGGTAGAGCACTGGCCCTGAAGTCAGGAGGACCTGAGTTCAAATCCGGCCTCAGACCAAACACTTGACACTTACTAGCTGTGTGACCTTGGGCAAGTCACTTAACCCTAATTGCCTGAAAAAAGAAAAAAAAAAGAAAAAAATAGAAGAAATCTTGGGCGCTCATACTAGAGTCCACTGTCTTCAGGGAGAAGACCGTCCATACCACCCAGAATAAGTGTTACCTCTCTATCCTAAAGGGCTCCAGACAAAAAGAATTTTGTTTTGTCCATAGCAACCTCTTCTCCTTTGAGTATATTTTCTTTGGTTTAGACATTGCCTTTTTTTCTTCCCCAAATATTAGCAATTCGTTACAGAGACTACACAATAGTCTTTTTATAGTTCAGCTTTGGGAGATTGTAGGCTCATAGATTTTGAGTGGGTAGGGATCTTAGAAGTGATTATATGCAGCCCCCTTATTTTACAGGTAAGGAAACGGAGGCCCAGAGAAGAGAAATGATTTGTGCAAAGTCACATAGGGATTGAGGATTAGAGCCAGGATTTAAGCCCAGGTCCTTTGTTTCTGATGCATCTTTTATTAATCTCCCAATTGCTTTTCTTATTCTCCAAGCAGTGATTCCTCAACAAGATGGTTCCAGTTCCCCGAGTTCTCAAACTCTATGCCAAAGGAATGCAATCTCTGGTGGGTCATACCAAGCCAGAAAGACTTCGCTTTGATTATGAGCGCAGTGAGGAGTAATTGGTTTGTCATAAGAGAGACAGGCTACCTAAGATCAGAGAAACTCTGTAGGTTGACTGTAGGGTAAGGAACTTTTGGACCACAGCAATTTCATAGCTGTCTATTAAATTGTGGTGGCATTACAGGAGACCTTGGTGAAAGAGGTGCTTGCTCAGACTAAATCACAGTTCCTTGAAATACTGAGGTACTTTCCTCACAATGACTGTTCCAAGACTCCAATCTCATCCCTATCTCCCTTGCTCTCAGCAAAAATGCCTTCTCTTTTACTAAAGAGACAAGACCATCTGGTAAGGAATACATGACTCCTTGTAGCATGACTTCCATACACAAACACTTAACTGAAAATCTCTAATTACTTGGAAAGCTCCTTCTGTCCTTGGCCCTCTCCTTCTCTCTCTCTCTCTCTCTCTCTCTCTCTCTCTCTCTCTCTCTCTCTCTCTCTCTCTCTCTCTCTCTCTCTCTCTCTCCCTCCCTCTCTCTCTCTCTCTCTCTCTCTTTTTCTCTATATTCTCTCTAGGTGACCTCACCAGCTCTCATGGGGTCAACGAACATCTCATTGCAGATGACTCTGAAATCTACATATCCAGCCACCATCTCTCTTCTGAGTTTTTCTATCACCAATGTGACATCTCTTGCACAGTTCTATCACTATGTCCCATAACGTGCCCATTTTATTCTACCTTCCCTTTATGTGTTGTCTCTCCCCATAGAATGTAAGCTTCTTTAAGGCTGGGACTGTCTTTTTGCTAGTGTTTTGTATCCACAACAGTTAGCACAGGGCCTGGCATATAGTAGCACTTAATAGATGCTCAGTCTATCTGTCTTTCTATCTGTCTATCTATCTATCTATCTATCTATCCATGTCTATCTTTCTGAAACTCAACTTGTCCAAAAAAGAACTCATCTTTTACCCTAAACCCATCCATCTTCCCCACATCTCTGTTTTTGCCAAGGGGACTATCCTACAGCTACTTGCATTTGAGCCTTTGGAGTCATCCTCAACTCTTCCCTGTCACTCACCTCCTACATCTAATAAGTGCTACCTCCTCAACATTTCTTAGATCTGTCTGCTTTGTTCCACTCACATGACCATTACCCTAGTCTGACCATTACCCAACTCCTGTCTAGATTATTGTAGATATTCTAAATTATCTAGATCTTGTAATGACAAGAACCTTTTAGTTGGCTTCCCTGAATTCACACCCCTCCTTTCCTTCATCCTTCACCCATCCAATTGGATATATTGCTAAGGCACAGAACTAACCATGTCACTTCCATGATCTAAAAGCCTCAGGGTCTCCCCAGTGTCTCCAGGATAAAATACAAAGTCTTCTAATTAGTATTTAATAGCTATTTCTGTCTATCTACAACTGATCTTTCTAGGCTGATTATATGTACATTTCTCCCCTCATACACTCTATTTGATATTGCATCTCTTGCCTCTATGCTTCTGTATTCCATGCTTTTAATGATCTCTCCACTCACCTCCACCTGTTTAATCACTTAGTAAACATTTACTAATTAACTACTACATTCCAAAAACTGTGCTAGGCATTGGGGATATAGTAATAAGAAGGAAACATCCCATGTCCCCAGGGAACTTCTATTCTATTGGGGTAGACAACATGCACATATATAAGTAAATACAAATTCGATACAAAATAGATACAAGGTAGTCAAGGTGGCATCTGTGGTAGTTGAGTCACGATCTGAAGGAAACTATGGGCCTAGAGGTCAACCTGTTCTAAGGCACAGAGATGAGAAATGGAAGGGAGTTTGGGAGTAATAACAAGAAATTTAATTTAGTTCTTCCCACCAAAATCTTTGGCACTGTCAA